AAATCTAACGTATTTGACGATATATAAAACCTCACTATTTACATTTTAAAATTACAAACTTATGCAGTAAATTTTGGCACAAATAATTGTCTTATACGGTGTCTGGGTAAGCATTAACCTACCAGCTTCCTCAGCATCGAAGGGAAAAGTGAGATGTTGGTTTCGGGAAAATAGAGTCTTCTGTTTCATTAAATTCGGTAATATAAAATTTAGAAGAGCCGCCATAGAAATTGAAGGAAAATAAAGCCGAAATGATACATTTATGTGAATAAAAAAAAAATTGAATGAATTTCAGGGAGGAGGAGTTATTATTTTCATCCAACTCGTATTATTTTGGTCTATTCTGAAAGACTGTAGGCATGTGGCCAAGTGGTTAGACAAATCGAATTCTGACCATGAGACCCGGGTTCAAATCTCACCATGGTCGATTTATCAGGATGTTATCGGATTGGAGATTTGGAAAGTGCCTGAAATCATATTACGGTTGACCCAAGACTTGTGACTTGAATTGGGTTTACGGAATCCTTGGGGTGAGGGGCTTCGATAGACGTGCTAGTCAGAAGAAATTAGAATATGCTGGCGTTATTCAAATTGTTGATCACGCAAGATAACTCCCTAAGGTCTGCTCAGCATAGTTGCAGTATAAACCACAGGTTGAATAAACACAAAGTAGACGCGTTTCCTTGAATACGAGTGGCCTGCTATACGTTCTGGGAAACTAACATAGTGGATTAAAGTTTTTGTTCGTGATGAAATTCATATAATAATTAGGAGTTCAATCTCTGGATCAGGTAGTATAGAGAGAAGGTGAAAACAAGGAGAGCAATTACTGACAATACCAAATAAGAACAAGAAGCGATATCTCTCTCTATATATATATATATGTATACAGTGGAGCGAGATCAATCTATCGCCGTAGATTGATTAATGGGTTAAACTTAAAATCCTTAAACGTAACTCGTTCAAGAGGCAACTGATAGTAGAAGGCCGAGTAGTAAAGCGACTGAAAGTTTGTGATAATAACAACAAATATATGAAGATATGAATCCAAATACGATAAAAAAAATAATAAATTACTTCTCAAACGTATTTTAAATTATACATTATTAATTTATATATATATATGTATATATATATATAGTCTTAAGGTGTGCTATATTTATGGGATAAAGTGCTCAATATCAGAGATAGAGCGTGTGTAAATATAAAAGTGAACATAGAAGTCAACACTTAGAGTCGACAGTCTGTTTCATGCTATATGCCTTCGTCAGTGTTGACTTCTATTAAAAATTTATATATATATATATATATATATATATATATATATATATATATATATATATATATATATATATATATATATAGCGCTTACGCTACTGAAAGGATGAAACCAACTGATCTCTAATTTTATATAACAGACAATTAAATTTTATAATGTATGATCAAGAGCCGTTCTAAACTTCGTTTTAATTTCGGGTGAAAATAAAGAATATATATATATATATATATATATATATATATATATATATATATATATATATATATCAACACATAAAGAAGGCGACGCTCTGTTTCATCATAAAAGCGAACCAGCATGAAAAAGACTGCCGCAGCGGGGTGTTGACTTCAATGTTCACTTTTATATTTATAGTTTTTTTTTATCTTTTTTTTTAGATTCATTAAATCTTCTTATTGTTTTCTAATGTTTGATCATGATGTCAGACTGATTCCTTGCATTATTTACATTATTCAGACTGTTGACTCTAGGTGATTGGAATTCCGAACCAAACCCTTTATTTTGTCCACCGGGGTAGATTGCTCTAGTTCCACCAGCCATGCCTCTTCTGGATGTTTCAGTTATTTCCCTTTAATTCAACACTCCAAGTTTTGATTCACCACTGCTGTGGACTGTAAGTGATCTCTTTGACTCTAGTCACTGAATCTAACCAACGTCTTCATCCGCTGGGCCATGTGATTTACAGAGATAGGATCTCAAATCTAATCTCTGTAACTCACATGGCCCAGTGGATAAAGGCATCGGTTAGATCCAGTGACTATACCCAAAGTTTTGTGGGTTCAATACCAGGGATACGGCACACAGTAGAAGAATAAATGTCCTAGAATTTCCGGGATAGTTATTTCATGTCTGAGATAAAATCTATTAGGTTATACATAAATGTGGGAGAAAATGAGTAACAGCCGACACCGAGGTTCGATCGTGACACTGGACTTATATATATTTTTTGCCAGATGTATAAATAGCGGTGTCAGTCTACTGACTTCGGTGATTATTGAGTGATTATTGATTGGAACTATCCAGTCGAATTAGTGTGAATTATTGTGTACTACTAACAAGGTATTCACAAAATAGATAATTATCTTTGAACACTTTTTTTACTTTTTTTCTATATATATATATATATATATATATATATATATATATATATATATATATATATTTCTTTGTAATTAATTTATCTTAACATTAATGACTTGAGTTATACATAATTATAAACGGCCGCTTGTACGTTAAAATGTGTGGAAAAGTGCCTTTTTTCATAGGAAAACACAACGAACATTGTATGCTTGAAAAATTAGCATAGAAATGTTTTTTTCCTGAAATTAAAGTTGCATGTTTATATATATATATATATATATATATATATATATATATATATATATATATATATACAAGTATATAATAGTATAAGAATAGAATATCATCACTTTCCTTGATAAGACACCGGAGGTGTTGAAACAAAAATGGCTATTTTTGTAGTGATGATATAACATCTTATGTTATAATTTTTTTAAATAAATCATTATATATATATATATATATATATATATATATATATATATATATATATATATATATATACGTGTTTGTATATTATAATATGATTGTATATGTATTGTCATTTTGTAAAACTTCTTTGCCCACATTATCTTGTTTCAGATCCCTTCAAATGTATCTAAGTTGTTACGATGTTTGAATCTCCTTTGAAAGAATTCTGAAATCTTGGTTGATTTTAAACTCTAGGTATTATCTAATATTGAATATTTTATAGGGTACCCAATGAGGATAGAAAACTCTACTCGGTTTAGACGCTACCAGATTAGTCAGGTTAACCTTGATCCCATGCCAAGACGCCTTGGAGATGAAAAGTCGTGTAATTTCCAACCTTTACGCTTCCAGATGCGTGCCATTTAAACGCGCTTAATGTACCACGAACTTCGAATCCTAAACCGCCAAGACATTTGCAAGCGCCAATGGATTGTGCCGGACAGACAGGGAGAAGTGAATTCAAATCGATGTTTAATTATTGGAATTGTTGCATTGGTCACCCAATCAAATAATTGCCCATCCTTATCAGTTCGCTTGGAACACATCACCACCGGATACTGCTTAGGATTTCACAACAATATGAAACAAGTCGGTATGCAATTTAAACGATATTGAGAACACGCTATCATCGCTTATGCGTAGAGAATTCTGTCTCTAATTCTATACAAGAATGCTTGCCGATCAATAAATATCAATTACAAGAGTCGGAGGTATAAAAATCCAAACCATCTGAATTTTCTTACGGTTTTGTAATTTAAAGAGATACCGTGTAGTATCTTATGAAGGTGTTATGAGAATGGCATTTGAGTCATGCCATATCCCTTCTATTCAGGAACTTAATATTAAGTAAAAAAAAAAAACGACAACGCGTCGCTATTCACGCGACTAACCAAATTAACAATGCGATGATGCATATATGTACCAGGAATTCATTTATTAAGAATAAAATATATATATATATATATATATATATATATATATATATATATATATATATATATATTCAGAAACAGCTTTTCAAAAAGTTTTAAATGTTCATCCGATTACTACATGCTGGCTCTTAAGTCCGAAATAAAGAAAGAAACCACGTGGTTTACATCTTTTATATATATATATATATATATATATATATATATATATATATATATATGTATGTGTGTGTATAAAACTGTTTTATATATATATATATATATATATATAAATATAAATATACATTTTAATCATATGCTTGTATATATATATATATATATATATATATATATATATATATATATATATATATATTTACAAGTATAGGATTGGTGTATACAAAAATTACCATCACTTGAGGAGACACCAGAAGTGTTGAAACGGAATGGTTATATTTGTAGTGATATATATATATATATATATATATATATATATATATATATATATATATATATATATATATATGTGTGTAATGTGTATGCTAAAAGTCAACATCAATAGGCATCAGTCTGTTTCTTGCTTAACCGCAATCGACAGGTCTGATGAAGGTCTTACCATGAAACATATTGTCACCTCTGTGTATTGAATGTAATACCCATACTTTTATACTTACATACGCTCTATCCCTAATACTGTGCTGTTTAACTCATAACTATAGAATACTTTTAAAGTGTAAATTTATATATATATATATATATATATATATATATAAGAGAGAGAGAGAAAAGAGTGGAACTCGAACACGTCCCTCTGATTTCGTTTCTCCTTCCGAAACTTTATCTATTACACCACCTGCACATTACAATGTGCGGTGGGGGGGGATACATGTAATATGTGGTAAAACATTGGTGAATATATTTTTTTTCTAATTGTTTCTTTGTGCTTACCAAGAGGATTTATTCAAAACAAAACTGTCTCTTAGATGAGGGCTTTATCGAGCGTTCCATTCCGAACAAGAGCTGACGTATCACTGAAAGAAAACTCTTGAGATTACAGGGAAAGTAAAAAGTGAAAGGTTTTTCCTTTTATGGTAAGAAAACTTCGACGCCCACCCTGGGAAATAACCACCGTAGTATTTAATTGATAAATGGGTTCTCGCCATTGTCTTTTGACCCATGTTAAGGAAATCTGCCGTCTTATTGGATAATCCTTAGTCTGTTCATATCTATGTATGTATGTATGTATGTATGTATGTATCTATCTATCTATCTATCCTAGTTTGCTCGTATCTATCTCTCCTTATTTCTCTATCTATCTAACCTCGTCTCCCCGTATCTATCTATTTATCCAACATATGAAAAGAATACCCGCTCGGCCCGGTGGCTAGGATCAAAGTGTAGTATCTGCGCTTTGTGAGCTGCCGGGTCGGGTGTCTGTCGAACTCTCTGCTTGCAGAGAGGAACCTGGACGAAGCTCCGCCGAAGGGTGGGGTTTCGTTGGGGGAGGTTGACGGAACTGGCCCACCTCGGCGGGTTTGGATGGTTATTTATTTTTGGCTGGGCCTACGGGCTCAGAGATACTCACATTAAAAAGGCCTTGTGCCACATTCGATTCCCGTGGGTGGATTGATAAATACCATCTATCTATTTATCTATCTATGTATATATCCAACCTAGTCTACTCATATCTATCTATCTATCTATACTAGTTTGCTCGTATCTCTCTTTCCCTGACTATGTATCTATCTAATTATCTAACCTAGTCTGCCTGTATCTATCTATCTATCAATCTATCTATCTATCCTAGATTGCTCGTATCTATCACTTCCTATCTATCTATCCAAACTAGTCTGCTCGTATCTATCTATCTATCTATCTATCTATCTATCCAAACTAGTCTGCTCGTATCTATCTATCTATCTATCTATCTATCCAAACTAGTCTATTTATCTATCTATCTATCTATCTATCTATCTATTTATCTATTCATCAAACTATCTATCGTATCTATCTATCTATCTATCTATCTATCTATTTATCTATCTATCCAAACTAGTCTGCTCGTATCTATCTATCTATCTATCTATCTATCTATTTATCTATCTATCCAAACTAGTCTGCTCGTATCTATCTATCTATCTATCTATCTATCTATCCAAACTAGTCTGCTCGTATCTATCTATCTATCTATCCAAACTAGTCTGCTCGTATCTATCTATCTATCTATCTATCCAAACTAGTCTGCTCGTATCTATCTATCTATCTATCTATCTATCTATCTATCTATCCAGACTAGTCTGCCCATATCTATCTATCTATCGTAGTCTGCTCGTGTCTATCTCCCTACATAAGTATCCTAGCCTGCTTCTCTCTCTCTCTCTCTCACCTTATTTATCTCTCTATCCAGCTAGCTATCCTAGTTTACCAATATCTATCTTTCGATCTATATATCCATCATCCATCATAGTATACTCGTATCTATCTATCTAAATAAATAAATAAATGTTTATCTATCTATCTATCTATCTAGCTGGATGGCTACCTGGCTCTTGTACTATCTCATATTTATTCATTTCTAAAGATGTAATCGATGTTGTTATTTGTGAACGCGAGAGATTTTATCATTTAGACGTTATTTTTATCGGATATCTGTAATACAAATACGGCTATCGACAAAAAATAGCTTCTTTCTTTTTTAAATTTACTAATCTTTGGAATTAATAAATAAAGAATTCATTACTTTTTTTTAGAAATTCACTTGTGTCCGTTAGGATACGAAACTCAGCAAATGTGAATTTTTCCAAAATCTTTTAAGTATTTTGGTCTTAAAGGAACTTTTCAGCTTTGCTCGATCGGTGACACCTGCTAGGGGGGGGGGCGCAATTTTGAATCCTGTCGGAAGGCGTAAATTTTCTGTAATAAGATCTCTAGAATATTCAAGCATTAAACGGAAATAGATTAATATCCTGTTTAATAAACGAATGGAACATCCTTGGAAATTTCGTTTCTACAATCATCGAATGACTTTAGGCAATATAAAATGCATAAATTGTACATCTGTCTGAAAACATTTCTGGCAAATAAAGAATGGTAGCAATACACCATTATTACGTGTGTATTATAGCTAAAGCCAAATTTTACAATGGGAAAGGCGACAGGTGTAATTTATGCCTTGTTGAAAAAATAGTTATTTTAAAACACTTAAATATTTCTATTTTTTAAACCCGAGATATGAATCGATGGTTAGATGTAAGCATAAACGTAAATATCTGTTGAAAGAGTCATTTTTAATATAAATTATTGTTGCTTTTTGTGAAAACCAAACAGTAATCTCACTTTATGCTAAATATAAACATTTAATATTCACAATGGTAAAGTAATATATATATATATATATATATATATATATATATATATATATATATATATATATTAAAAAAACCAAAATTACCTCACATGGGTATAGTCTATTTCAAGGTGGGCCAAAACCAGCCGTCTTCAGTCCCTAATGAGAGGTCTTTTTTTCTTTTTTTTTAAAAAATATATATGCTCTATTATAAAAAACATATTGAGCATTCTAAGGAACAGTTTTGATATTCGATATTACCAGGATCCATCTCGATTATACAGCAACAGATCTCTTACCTGTCCTATATATATATATATATATATATATATATATATATATATATATGTGTGTGTGTGTGTGTGTTGGACACTTCCGTCGAGTTCGACGTATGCGTTTCCGATTACCACCTACTGCATGCCTATGCCGGGCATAACTTTTCCGGCCGGCTCGAGAATTGCACAAACTATAGCAAACAGTACAGGAGAAAATATTGCATTCAAGTGAAGCAGGAACGCTGTTTTATTTCGCTTTCCTGTTAAACGCAGCTCGGATAGCGGCTCATGTTGAGAAATCGGAGAACCAAGTTTGAAGTCCAGTAAAATCGAATTACTTTCACTTACGTGCTAATACCCTAGGGAAAGGTATGACCCCCCCCCGCAATAGCTATGGGTAAATAGCAGGAAAGACAGTGTTCTATAGCCTTGGATAGAAACTGTTCTACTGCAGAAAAAATAGCAACCTACTGCTGGGGAGAAAATCTGCCTCGTCAGTCCTGTATCGAAAGATACATCGTCGCTTACACCTAAATAAGTCGAGGATTTTATTATATGGCATCTTTTTTTTTCTACAGTTTATTTTTGTCTTTACGTCTTGTTACTTTAGAAAGGTTTTCTTTAATCTCCAGGCACGCACCCCACCCCCAGTTCCTTACGCCTAGTAAAATCTATTTAGTAGTTGGGAGTGGGAGTCATGCGACCACGCCACCAACCTTGGACAGCCTCGGGCTTGTGTATCACAAAGAGACTGCCGAATAACTGCGAACGAGAAATAGAGTTTACAGTCTAAACTTGATCAGTAGCTAACAAATGTCTTTTCGGTGATGACAGTAATCAAACCGGAGGGGTTTACAATGAAAAACAAAATAATCTCAAAACCGGGAAAATATAAAAGCCACTTTTTGGGCAAAGCAAGTAGACCTACATAAACACTAAGAATTAAGCGAATCGAACCGTAAGTAGCACAAATTGCATCAAAAGACGGTCGTTACGAATAGAATGTTCCTCTCTATGTCTCAACTTGTGTTTATTATTGGTAATAGTAACACTATTGGTAATTGTAACACTAGTAGTAGTGTTATTACCGAAGGTCACTAAAGAAGATGGATAAAACATTTAGACCAATGATCATGGCTCTCCACTATCCTCTATCCCCCTGCAGCTGTCAATGAGTTCCTTCTCTCTATCACCTCCCTACGTTCTGTCATCCCCTTGCTTAAGACCGCTAAGTATGTCATGCGTGTGTTTTCCCTTGTCTCTGTTCTCTCCATTCGACCCGTATCAGATTCTTCTTCTATACCTCTCAGGAACTTCAGCTGCCTCTTCCTGATATGAAGTATAAGCCTCCTCTTTGTTTGCATCCTCTCTAAGATCTCATCGTTGCTCACACGCTCCGTCTATGATATGCTTAGCATCCTTGTGTAGAACCACATCTCAGTCGCCCCGAGTTTCTTCTTCATCTTTGAGGAAATCATCCAACATTCGCTGCCGTAAAGAAAGAAGATTTCAGTATTCTTTTCTTTGTTACCAAAGAAATCCTCTTGTCTTGCTATACTCTGCCCAGCTTTTGGAATGCGTCCTTGGCCATCCCAATACATTTACGGATCTCAGTGTCGCACTTACAATCTCCTGTCCAAATACTTCCCAGATATTTAAACTTCCACGTTTTCTTGATTCTAGTGTCCCCGACCTATAAATTGCATTTCGGGCTCATCCTTTTACTGATGACCATGCATTCTGTCTTCTTGCAGTTTAGGTTTAGTCACTTCTTACTCTCCGTCGCTATCTTCTGCAGGAGATTTTGTAATTTATTTTCCTTGTTTGCTATCAATACTGTGTTATCTGCGTATCTTATGTTGTTAAGATTGTGACCGCCAATGCTTAATCGCAGCAGGATTTCCAATTCTCTCTTTGAAGTGGGTAGGGGACGAGCAAGAGAAGAATATACACACAAAGGAGAAACGGACTAATTTGCCTTTGCATAAGACGCGTTTTCTTTTAAATCTACCTATAAAACTGCTCTGCGTCTAATATAGCCGTATTATGGATGGGAGGCGATCGAGTACTGTACCGGTAGGTAAGGACGTCGGGTGTGTCCGAGAATTTAAGTGTTTTAAAATAACTATTGTTACTCGTAATAAAATATCAAAAACAAGGCAAATTATTATCGAAAATTGTGTTAACATATGTACGGTAGTTATAAAAATTTTGTTCTGCTACTATCTCTAAGTATTGGTGCCAGAAAAAATTTAGTTGGTAGAAACAGCAACTCTTGAAAAAAGGCACAACTTAAAAAAAGAACAAGACGATCACTGCACAAATTTTTAAAGAGAACAATGCATTTATTTACAATTACAAATTTGATGGTCGGTGATCATATATTCATTATAAAATCAATGATCCTTTCAATCGTTATATAGTATATGCTTCAACAGTGCTATATACGGTTTTTGAACTCAGAGTTTTCCTTCTCCTAGACCGGTTGCCATCCAAGGCTATAGGTATAAAAGATATACATACAAATTCATAGTAGGTGTTTCATTAGGAAATTGGATTCACAAGCAGTCCCCAGCCCCATGTATACACACTTTATGGGATAGTGTGAACTTGTTTGAATTCAATGTTTCCTATCTTGCGAACCAAATCTATGGAACACTGTCTTGATATTTTACCCATAACTGGAGAGAGAATAGATGGATTCATGCATTTCCAACGGTTATTTGCGCTTAAAAAACACAAGGAAGCAACGTTAAGTTAAGTATATTTATCATGTTCTCCCCACTGAGAAGGGGATGTGACACAATGTCGTGTTTAACATGAGAAAACCGATCGTGTACATCCGGGCCAAGGACAAAAAATTTCCAGTCCTTACACCCGTCGATTGCACTGGCATCAGTATGACTACGCATTCCCTGATATTTAATGCAATGGGGAAGTGCAGCCTCGAAGACCTGTTCCCCGGGAACGGACAACTTGAAGTATTTATTTTCCTCAGCTGCGTCTGTATTCGTGGATGTGAGTCGCACTCTTCCCGAAAACAGGGACGCAATTGAAATCTGATAAACCCTACCCGGTATATACACAGAAAGTTACATTGAGTGAATGTAACTAACTCGATTGAAATTCGAACTCGGCTCTCCGATTCCTAAATCCGAGCAACGACTTCGCCGTGACTCCAAATCCATCATGTCTATGTATCAAATTTAACTTTCAGACATGTCAACATCCAACTATTTTTTTTTTTTTGTAATTGTTATTTTATTGCTGAAAAGACAATGTCAGTGAAAGGACATGTTACGATATTAAAAACCAACTAAAGAAAATGACTAAGCAAATGGATTAGGATGAATTTACGTTCATAAATATTTAATTTAAGAAAATGCTGAAATCTTTTCACGTGAATTTAATCAATTTATACATATCTTGTATTGATGACGTTCCGTAAATTAAGCGTCGATTTTTTTTTTCTGTCTGTTTTTGTTTATTGCTTCAATGACACACGTCACATATTTGATTTATCGGTGTCAGGAAAAGACCTGATCTTACCGTACCCTGTCCAGAGTGATGAAAGAAAACACGCCCGAAATATCGATTGGCGTTTCCTTGTCTCAGCTGCGCGTCTGTTCATTCCAACGCCAATTCCGAATTTAATTCGACGAAGGTGATAACGAACAGCGCTTCGGAAATTCCACTTGTCACTTGTTGCTAATGTTAGGGTCAAAGGTACCACATTTTTATCTTCCACTAATTCATTATACTGTAAAATGTTTTCTGTCAGTGATACACCCGAACCTTTCCCCGACATGACAAAAATAAAATCGTAGTGGATAAAATCCGGTGAGCGAAATAACATCGCATAGAATATC